GTACATTTACTTTGTTACAGTATGTAAGTAATGTTTTTGAGGATTTGTAATTTTATCAAGTATTTTTTAAAATTATTACTTTTATTGTTGCATTTAAAACCTAAAAATGATACTTTTACTTCTTTACTTTAAAATGTAACACATAATTAATTATTCATTACAAAATTAAATCCATCAGAACTCATCATGAGTTGTTTCTGCACTCTAAAAAAGGAAATGTTGAATTTGCTGAATCAAGTCAACTGGCTCCACTGAAGCTAGTAGAGCAAATCAATTTACTCAACCAACTTTGGTTAAATAAATTCAACAGTTAGGGTGTGTAAAAGTTGTATTTTCCCGATTTTTGTGAACAGTTTTTACTTTACTTAAGTACTTTTCTCATTAGTGAAATTTATTTTTACCACAGTCATTTTCTGTTAAAGTATTTTTACTTTTACTTAGTTTTTTTCCCCAAGAACTTTGTAAGGAGTATAAGTAAAAAGTATGCTGAAAAATAAATACTCCACTAAAGTGTAAATAAACTAAATTTCTACTGAAGTAAAGTAACTAATTACTGGACACATCTGCTGGGCCAACAGAACCAAAAGACAGTGAGCTGTGGACAACTGAGTCCGATGTTGATTTCTAGAACGGTCATTTTACTGTAAAAAAAAAAAAAAGAAATATGGAATGACATCATCAGTCGTCTCTTTGATGTAAAAATAGTTTTTGATCTGGGCCATGAGGTCAGGAGATGTTCTGYTGACCCATGACATCATCTTTCCTGTGACAGCTCTGTTCTGTTAATTAACAGACAGGATGTTTTTGGCCAGGACAAACCCTGCTGTAATGATCACTTTTTAYCTTGACCTGCTGCAGGACTGAAATAAAGTCATGTCTGTGTTAAATAGCATCTGTATGTTGAAACAGTTTATATAGTTAGACTGAGTTAGCTCAACAGAGAACCTGATAGATCTGTGCTGATTTCTGTTTCTTTTTATTGCTATAAGCACATTTTGTTTTCCTGTTTCTCTTTATTATTCACCTTATTCCGTCTTCTTCCACGTCACCACGCTACTCCTCCTGCATACTTTGTCCTACAGCTGCCATTGTAATTT